TGGACATTTACATGGAGGGCATCCTTTGTGAGGGAAGAGCCTGTAAATTCAGCCTGTAAATTTCAGATTTCTTCCTGGAATGCAGTGACCAAAGAGATCCATAGAGCAGGAGCTGGCAGACCTTAAGCTTTGCAGGATCTATTTAGCTTTTCACCAGAACTCCAGATTTCCCCAACTAGAGCCTGGTAAAAAATAGTGGCTCAGGTGGAGAAATAAAGAATATGGTGCCTCTAAGTGTATGCTCAGCTTACGAGTTTGTTTTTAGTACCAGAACTGAACAATACTGCTCAGAAATCTACCTCTGTTATTTTTCATGCCTAAGTTGGTAAGAGGAAGGGAAATTGTATTTTTGTGTGTGTTTGGAAGAGGAAAATCCTTGCTGTTCTACTACAAATCACCTGGAAATTGAACAATAGTTCCCCTTGTTACCTTGGGCCCACCTCTGCATAGGGAGACTAGCATTGTGTGCAGCATCTGAGAGCAGTTTGCAGTAGTAACGTTCCAAAAGGAATCAGTGAGCTGCCAATTTTCAGAAGTGATTTGGCTGCCCCGGAATCATCAGTTGTGCCAAGGCAGAAGCTCTAAGACCTCTGTTGCTTTGGCTACTGTGCTCATAAACTTGGTCTGAAATGCCATCCCTGTGCCAGTAAGCAAAAGCATTTAAAATGAAGTCATACCATTCTCCATCCTGCCCCTATTTCTACCTTATTGTTTGGGATTTGTCAGGCAAAATATTAAATTAGGTTGCATTAGCTTGGATCAGTATTTGTAAACAGTATTTGCTCTGTTGCTTTCCTTCATGGCTTAGTCCTTCACCACTCTTTTCTCCCCCCTCTTTATGCATGTGTCATAAACCTAGTTAGGAGGACTGCATTCATTACCAGGCAGGCATCTCTTAGAATGGAATGGAATGCAGGTCATTGGTTTCTGAAGTAATGAGCTTTGCAGGCAGGAATGGGTTGCGGCTGGGAACTGGAGGCCAATACTAGTCTTTGAAACTAGTACCCTTGCCTAGTGTATGCTGGGCCTGATGCCCATGAGAACTGCCATTCTGCTTGCAGGAAATGCATTCCATTTTCTATTAAGAACACGCTGAAGTGCTCTCTACTTCAAAGAATAATCGAGCACGTAGTTCCTTTGGGAGACATCATCCAAATATCTGGAACATGTAACAAAGAATTTGCCTGAAAGACACAATATGACCAAGCCAGTATGGCTAGTATTCATAATGCCATGTTTGGATGTTCAAGCCATGGTTTTGTGTGATAGCAGTGACCAAGCTAATGATTGCAGCTACTAGAACAGGGATGGAGAATGTCTGACCCTCCAGATATTATTTATTGATTTGATTTCCACCCTGTCTTTCTACTGGAAAGTGGACCTCTAGGTGGCTTACAGGGACAATTCAAATCAATTAAAACAATACATTAAAATACCGTGAAAACATAGTTATGGGAGGGGAGATTATAAACACCATCTATCCTAGCTGAACCACTTACAGGCCAAACGTCTTCTTGAGTAAAGTGATCTTCCGTCTACTTTTGGAAAGACAGCAGCAAGGGATTGAACTATCCTCCCTTAGGAAGTATTCCAAAGTCTGGATTTAGCCACTGGAATCGCTGTTTCTTGGGTCACCATCAAAAGTGCCTCTGAAAATGGAAGACTGGAAGAAGAGCCACTTCAGAAGATCTGAAGTATGTTCTTGGACTACAACTCCCATCAGCAACATGATCCCTGTCCCTGCTCGAATCTGTGCCTAAATGTGGTTGGGGTATTTTCTGGTGCTGAGGAACTCAACTGTGCTGTGTACTTCCCAGATTGCAATCTGCCGAAATCTCCCCTTCTGCGGAGGGGGTAGAGTGGGAGGAAAAAGGAGACCATGGGGAAGGAACAGCCATGCACTGGGTGGGATGTGGAAGAGCCAAGAGTCTTGCGTAGTTAAATGTTTTTGCATCTTGAAACAGTTCACGTAAACAATTGAAGCACTTGCAGTTTTTTGAGTTTTGGCTGCTGTTAGCCTTCCTAGGCGATGCTTTCCTTCATTTCCAGCAAATATTCCCTCAGTGGGCTATCTTTAGTCAGTCTGTGGTTTAACCTCAGGAGAACCAGAGGAGTACAGATGGTTTATAATTCTCTTTGTTAGTACTCTTGCTAACAAAGTAGGCAACCTTTTCCCCCACCCCTGCCCACTCATAAAAGCATTGTTCAGCTGACTTCCTTTTGCTTTTTAAATTTCCTCTAGGAATAGTAGATCAGGTGGATGTTCGCTTGAACAAGTCTAGGAAATGAAACTTTTATAATTTAAGTCTTCTGTCTGTTTTCCTTCCTTTACTGCCTTAAATCCCTTCTTCCCTCAAGTTGTTGCATGCTTTTTGGAGGAACTTACTGTGTATTGAACTTGCTGGAAAATAGGGTTCAGTTAATTGCACCACTGGTTCTGCTGTATTATTGACACTTTTAATTTCCCTCAGTCTTGTTTACTTTCTTTTTAAAATCTTTGTCTCCTTCTTTCATCTTTTTAGCAAAACGATTTAGTCATATCTTGATGCTCCACAGCTATTTTTAGTGTAGAATTATGCTCAAATTAATGGGGGGGGGATTAATTAGGGGATTAGTAGTTGCCACTAAGGAAATGCACAAATACTACCACAAACTCTATCCAGTTGTATTTACTTGTTGCAGTAATATATTTATAGCTGTATTGATACCTTAATCTACTTGTAGGTGTCATGAGCTGTGGCTCTTCTCCTGAGTAAACACACTACTTCCGAGTTGGTTTTCTACAAGGTTATTGTTCCATATCTCTGAGTTACACCTAGAGTGAAGTGCTGAGCCCTCTCTGACACCCCTTAGTCTTCCTTTTCTTTATGCCCCTGTTGTCTGTGTATCCTCGCAGGTGGAGCAGTGCTGCACCTAGTCCTTTTGAGATCCTCTGGCTCCTCAAGTTAATTGAATTTCCCACCTATCCTGTCCCCTAGCAACTGGCATCACCTCCAGAAGGGAAAGTACCTCTGTGTCAGACAGACTGCTCAGCTCCTACTGTGAGACCCATCCAACCCCCATCCACTTCTCCCAGTCCACTATTAATAGATTAGGGCTTTCATCAGCCCCAGCTGTCCCCTCTACCTCCTGTTCTGCTTTCTCTTTGTTCCCACAGGCTAGTTGGCCATCACCTCCATCATCCTGTACTGACAACTCCTCTCCTTGCTTCCCAGACATTCCCTGACCTTGATCTGATACTGGGGCTTCTTGAGATTCCACAGCCATTTCATCTTCACTGTCAGAGTTTGCATTTCCATCAAAACTATACATTGTTAATGCGCATTCTGACACCTTGTCCTGGTGCTTACGCATGACAGCAGGATGCAAACTTTTCTGGGGTGCTTTATAATTAACAAAAAACATTTTTAAAATCATAATAATACTGTGGTATAACAAGATATCAGAATACTTCATGCAGGGCAGGTGATGGTAGATGGTGCTGCAGGGTATGAGAACAGGATGTGCCATCTAAACCACTCTTGGAGGTGGTCTTCACCTACTTCCATTGCACTCCTCAAATCATGCCAAACAGTCCTCAGAAGCTTTCCAAAACAGTAACTTGTAACCATAGAAAAAAACAGTTAAGAGTGTTGAGTCTTAGCTTTCTGTGATCTGAGCACTGTTGCAATGCCACAAAGCAATACAAAAAAGGCCACAAAGCAGTAAGCAGCTGCCAGTCATGATGGCCAAATGCTGCTTCCAGAAATGGAAGCAATTTGAAAAGCCTTTGAATTACCGTATTTTTCGCTCTATAAGATGCACCTGACCATAAGACGCACCTAGTTTTTAGAGGAGGAAAACAAGAAAAAAAATACTCTGAATCAAATGGTGTACTAAACTATTTAATAAACTATAACAGAATACAGTAATACCATATTTCAACCTTGTAAAGTGAACAGCAGTCAACAGTGGTATTAAGAACCATCATCACTGTCATTAACAAAAGAAAGACTTCAAAGTTCAAGTACTCTTCTAGTTTTCGTTGAACCCATAGAACTCATCATCACTAGAGTCAGAATTTATGAAGCTCTGTTGCTTACAATCACTGACATCACTTTCTTAGTCAGTAGTGGAATTATTGAAGGAATCCACAATCTACACCAGTTCTACAAGAGCTGCTGTGGACAATTCAATAACAAATCTAAAAAAGCCGGTAATGTCCATGCTGCCCTACTAGTAAATAATAGAAAAAAACTTCTGACAAAAAATGAGATATTGTACGGCAAAATTAAACACACAGTGGACTAAGTAGCCTTTGAAGAATAAACTTCATACACGAAGGTAATGCTGTTCAAATATCCACTGATCCTAAAAAGAATGTGTCTGATCAACTAACAGATAACTGATCCATGGAAAGCTTCCTGATAATCACAGGCACATTCCCCATCACTTCCCCATGGGCTTCATTAAAAGACGGGTTGCCATTTGAAAACACACACCAACCTGTGATTAACAGCTCTCACCTGTGCCGGAGGAGGGGGGCGGAGCAGGGCACGCCGAGTGTGTGCCGGCCAGGTGGTGCCACGTGGGGCCAGCAGTGTGCCGATGGTGGTCTTCTGGGGGGCACGGCGGCAGGTCTTCCCAGGCGGTGGGGGTGAGCAGTCCACCTCTCTGTGCGGCCAGCGGGTTAAAGCCTGCGGCTCCTCCTCCTTCGCACCTCTCTCCCTGAGCAGCACAGCTCTCACCTGTGCCGGAGGGGGGGGGGCGGAGCAGGGCACACCACGCGCGTGCCGGCCAGGTGGTGCCACATGGTGCAGGTGGGCCAGCAGCGTCCCGGGCGTCGGGCACACACACATTCACTCTATAAGACGCACAGACATTTCCCCTTACTTTTGAGGGAGAAAAAGTGCGTCTTATAGAGCGAAAAATACGGTACCAGTTTCTGGGGAACAGCATTGAGCGAGAAGGCTGTTGCTATCTTGTCCTCCTTTTGGGCTTACAGTGAGGCTTTGACCACTGTGCCGTATTGCACTAGGTTAGCCTTTGATCTGATTCTTCAGGACTTCTCTAATGTCCTTTGTCCACTTTCGGTATCTGTGATACACAGATCTGTATGACATTGACAACATCAGTAAGGTGTTACACTTGGCTGTATTCTAAAATTCTCAGTCTTGTTACTGGCATATTCGGACTGCATACAGTCAGTAAACATAATAGTTAAAATTGCTGCTATGGACTCCTGTGTGCAGTAATATGTTAATATAATCTTACTGCTTTTAGTCCTTGGCTGTAACAGAAGTCATAATGATACTAAAGATAACATACATCCTAATGAAAATAACAATACAACCAAAAGTTTAGATATTCACCTAGCTTCTTGCAAGAGAAGAACATACTCATCCAGAACCTTTCAACAATACTAAGGCAAATGTAGTTAACTTTTGAAGGAATGTTGGTTTGTGATTAGCACCTGCCAGGTGTTTTAGACTGGTGGGGGAAGGCAGTCTGATTTTCAGATGGTTTGAACTTCCACTCCTAGCATTCTTCATCATTGGCCATGTTTGCAAGGTCTTTGGGGAGCTGAAGTCCAGAACTTCTGGAGATCTACTCTCTGCCCACTCCTTGTTTACACAGCAGTTCTCATTGTAAGTGGGCCATGCTGGATAGACCTGATGGGAGTTTGTAGTTCAAAACACGTGGAGAACAAACAGGTTGAAGGAGGAGACAGCAGTGCATCAGCACATCGCCCTTCACTACTGCTGATTAAAGGCTCTGTTCTCTTAATTCCTATACTGTGCTTCTGAATTTGTACTTTGCATTTCTGCTCTGTCCTTGAGACATTGCCTGACAACCATTTCCAGCCATCATTTCAAGATGCATATGTTTGTAAGATGATTAATTTTGTATTATAGATCCCTGGGGAAAATAACTTGCTGTATTTTAATATCTAAAGATCAAATCCTGTGAGTCCTATAATCATTTAAACCTACTTTGACTTGAAGAAAACCTTTAACTTATGCAAGTGGATAGATAATGAAGCTGAAGGCTGATAAAGAGTAAATAAATTTTGAACAAAACCATGATTTTTGAACTCCTGCTTTTGATTTATCAAAGCTTATATGAAAAATCTGTTTTGTGGTAATATATTGTTTCTGGAATATTGTGTGGGGTTTCTGCAAATGCTACCCTCCCCCCAAAAAAAATCACATGCATGCAGCAAATTTGCCTACATACAGGATCTCTGAAGGGCACTTACAAGAATTTCACATGGATTAACACAGAAGTGTATGCTGTCTCCAATCTTTATATCTTATTACATCAACCTTCAGTTATCTCATTGTAGCTTACAGTCAATTACAGCCAGTCCTTGTAAAATCACAAAATATTAAAACATCCGTCAAGTCTGTACAGATTCCATCCTAAAACTTAGCTTGCAGAATCTTGCAGCACAATAAATATCTTTCTAAATATGAAGAACTTAAATCATATTCCCAAAGGTGAGAAGTGAGTAGGCTGAGCAAGCCTGATTGGACAAGGAATTTCACAAGGAGGATGCTGTGGCTTTGAGGAGGCCCTCAATGTAGTAGCCATCTGTTGTATCTCGATGGTGGGGGCTGTCCAGGGTCTTGCCTAAATATCTTAAAAATTAGAGATAGAGATGCAAAGGGAGATTATCCTTCAAGAAACTGTAGTGGCTTGAATATTTAGTTTTGGTGTATCATATTTGTGGCTCAGCTGGGATGGTAATTCATTTTGGGGGAAATGCGCAGTTAAGTAGTGTTTTGTCAGCTGCTTTCATAGCAAAGCCTACACCTCTCTCCTGCCATGCCACCACAGTAGGAGGTGAGGCACCTTATTAAATGCATTTATGATGGCAAATTGACAGTGGCAGGTTCCTGTGCATAGTATGTGAACTCCTGGATTGTCGCTTTCATTGATCTGACAGGAACACAGTCTGGCTGACAGAAGTCACCTCTTAGTACTTCTATATTTATCTTGGGTAGGAGTGGGTGGAAATGGAAGCAAATTCTTGGCAGGAAAACAAGGCCCGGTCTTCCTTACACCAGCCACAATCTGCGTATCACTGTCTGCTTATTTCCCCTCTTTTCTCTGTGAAAATGGTGATGTCACCTGTGTCCTAATCAGTCCTGCTTGGTTGTTGGCCAGAGGTTATTAAGGGAATGTTGTTTGGTGCTTGCCTGAATTCTCCAGCTACCTTTTCAGGTTTAAGAGTTGCTAACTTTGATACTTCTTAATTTAGCCTGATATATATCTAAAGCTTTACTATTCAACATGCCAGGGATCCAAAGCCCATTGTATCAGATCGGTTGGCTTCCTTCCTACAGGAATGATTAATGCTTAAAGGGAGACAAAAGGAAAGCCATGTAATATAGCCTTAATGTGCTGGACCACAATCCGTATTACCCTCAGACAGCATGGCCCAGCTGATGAAAAAGTGACATTTGTTTATGTTATATTTTGGATTTTGAATTTATATCCTGCCTTTTTCCTACAAAGGGCTCAAGGCAGCTTACATCATTCTCCTCCTGCATCTTATCCCCACAACAACATCCCTGTGAGGTAGGTTGGGCTGAGCATATATTTGCAGCATATACTGTGTTTTTTTCCTTTCGAGGAACTCAAGACAGATTACGTCATTCTCCTTTTCTTGCTCTCAGTCTTAACCTCACATCAACAACCCTGTGAGGTAGGTTGAGCTGAGAGTCTGTGACTGGCCTAGAGTCACCTAGTTGGCTCCATGGCTGAGTGGGGACTACAATCCAGATTTTCTGGAGTCCTGCTCCCACACTCTTAGCAACTATCACACTAGCTCTCATGACATGAAACCCTTAGTTTTATCATTCTTCACTGACAAAAGTTCTTTTTTATGGCTGTTAGCTTCTTCATTTGGGATAGATCTTGTTTGTTTCTTGTAAATATTTACTTTGGAGGTGACTTGCAAATGCTAGAAGCCTCCAGTCCAAAATGGGAGACCTGAAGTTTAAAGGAGAACCTAAATAGTGGGCATTATACAAACTTAGTGGAATGGAGAAAACCACTGAAGTGCAGTCATTGCTGGATACAAACTCTATAGAAAAAACTGGGAAGGGCATAAAAGACTTTCAAAAATATTTATTTATTTAACAATATGGCATGCCAGGCAGGAACCACACCTGTTGTAAAGCCTAATTACTAGTCTATGGAATAAATGCACTAATTTGGCAAGTCCACTCTTTTCTTGAAATGATTGTTCTGTTGCATTGTGGGGAGGAAGAAAAGTGGTGCCTTAGATGTCTATGTTGGTTTAGACATTTTTCTTTCTTAGTGATGAAGTTTGATTATGTAGCACAGAATTTGAATATAGCAGGAAACATTCTGCAACGTTACTTCTGTTTTTCCTGTATCATCCAGCCTCTTGCCTCAGTTCAGTATTTTTGTCATTTATTTGAGGAAACTTTTCTCTTCATTTTACTGCTACAAACACCTTTCTCATTACAAATGCATTCTGCATCAAATCTTTTAACCATTAAATTTAGGCTCCACAATACCGTGCTAACTTGTTATTTAATATCATTGTACCTAGGAGAAATTCTGCTGTAGAACTCTGTTGGGAATTTGACCTGGTTAATTATGTGGTTATTAAGAGCTTCCTCCTAAGATTGAACAGAGTTTGCAGCAGGAATTCTGCGAAATTCCATAGGCCTAGGGAAGTTTGTGGGACAGGGAGAGTCTAGACCAAGGGTCCTCAAACTTTTTGAATAGGGGGCCAGTTGAAAGGCTGTGGTGACTGTTGCGGGCCGGTGAGGTGGGGGTGCCTGGGGGACGGGCCGGTGAGGTGCTGTCAGGCGTGCGCAAGGCAGCATTGGGCACGCACAGTGGTGGCTCGCTCGCTTGGAGATCTCCCTCTCCAAGTGAGCACACCACCACCTTCCCACCCGCGATGCAAGGCAGTGGCAAGCGCGTGCGTATGGGAGGCAGGCGGCGGCTTGCTTACTTGGAGACCGGGAGGCAGGTGGCAGTGATTTGCTCGCTCGGAGACCATCTCTGAGCGAGTGAGCCACCACCTCTCCGCCCACACAGCAAGCGTGCGGTGGTGCGGGTCAGATGGATGGCCATGGCAGGCTGGATCTGTCTTGCAGACCGTAGTTTGAGGACTCATGATCTAGACTGTGTTCAATGTACTTTTCCCAACCTGGTTCCTTCTGCATTTGCTGGGTAACTCCTAACATGCCAGCCAGTGATCAGGAGTGCTCGGAGCTGAAGTCTGAAACATCTAGAGACCTACTCTTCCAACTCAAGCATAAGGAGCCTGAATGAGCCTGAATGACATGTTTCAATGGAAGGGTTTCCCCATGTTTTCAGTTTCCACACTTTTCAGAGAGATTGATTGTGACACGGCTGACTGCAGGGGGGAACTGAAAAATAGGGGGAAACTTCAAAGAAAGAAAATTTTCACTTACTTGTGATGGGACTCCCAATTTCTTGTAACACTTAATGTATTTTAAGTATTCTGTGGGTATTATAACCATAAATGTGTTCCAGCTCTGTTCCTGCTATTGTATAATCAACTCTGCTTCTCATGTTGTTGAAAGGCACTGCTTCTATTTATTTTTAAAAGAGAAGGGGAAAAGACTATTTGGTTTATTTTAAAAATCAAGACAAGAGAAGGGTTTGAAACAAAAGAAACAAGAGTTTGAAACAACTAAAAAAAACAAATGCAGCCTTTATAGGTTGCTTAAGCTTCTTAACAAAACGAACTGATTGCTACTTCTTTCAAATGCATAAGGTATGAATAAGTAATTGGAGTGCTTCTTCTATTTTATTTTAGCGTCCCTGTCCTCCCCAAATTTGCTACATTGACTCTGAAAATTGGAGCTTCTCTTCTGGTCACAAAGTCAGCCAAGGAATCTTTTTCTCAATAGCACTACCATTTTTCATGCAGCACCCAAGAAGGTCAGAAATAATGTGAAACAGTTCACTGTGCATCCCATTCCTTCCGGGTTAAAGAGGCCCAGCAGGCTTCCAAGATCCTGAACCTGGTACTGGGTTATGGCTAACAAAGTTTTGGAACCTAACTTGCATTCAGGCAGACAACACATTACTAACTTATTTGAAACACTTGCTCTTTCTCTGGGCCTCTTGAACCTCCTACACATAATAGGTCATCAGAGAAATCTGTACACTCAACACAGTTCATTTCTGTGTTATATTGTACATAACATTACAAACCTTTGCCCTCTGGTATGTTTATCATGAGCAAGTAAGGATTGACACTAAAAGCATAATTTCTGGTTTTGGCTATTTTGAAATATTTAAAACCCCAACGTTTGCTTGATTGCTGAATGGCTGTTTGCTCTAGTTCTTCTGCCAGGAACTGCTTTCTAAACTAGAGGCAAATTTCCTCTTATGGCTGCCAATTCTCAAAAGTACTTTCAGCTCTTGTGGCTTGTAACCACCTACTTGGCCTCATACTTGGAAGTTTATGTGAGTGCTATAGCCCACACCTCTGCCTTGAGGCTTATATTATGATTAGGTTTCTCGTGTGTATAGTTGGTTGAATGACACTGTACCTCATAGGGTGTTTGTGAAAGCAAATATAATAAAGTGTGATAAAAGCACTGTCAACTGAAGGCATTTTATAAATGGTAAACATACTCAGATTATAAGCAGGTGTATCCTGAGTTGGATCTGCAGCTCAAATGCTAGGGTATATGTTTCACATATGTCAAAGGTTCCAGCTTCAATTCCTAACATCACTAGTAAAAAAAGAATCAGTTATCAGGTGACTGAGGGAGCAGGAATCTTTGAGACCCACTGCTAGTCTCTGAAGTCAGTAATGAGATAGATGGACAATAGCTTGACTTCATGAGTTCATCTGTGTTGTATTTTGGAAAGAGGACATGCTTTTCCACATGCAAATAGTGTGTCTTAGTAGGAAAAATATGAACTTTTCAGATAAGGGAGGGCCACCTATAATTCATGGCATTTACTTACTTCCTTGGATGATCAGCTAACCTTGCTCTATTTGGTATTCTCCAGGTATGTTGGACTGCAGCTCCTATAACCCCAAATCAGCATGCTGGCCATAGGCTTATGGGAGCTGTACTGTTAACACATTTGGAGGGCACCCGATTAGGAAGGGTGTCTTAAACACTGGACTGCCTTGAGTTTCACCAACACAGTAGTAGGGCATTGCCTACAAACTCTGCTCAAGTGCAGGATTCCCAGCATTATGAGCATGTGAACTTCATTGTACCAAATCAGATAATAGAACTATCTAACCAGGTATTGCCTAAATAGCCAAAGCTCTTCAAGGAGTAGGGCACCTCAGAGTCTTTCACTGGAATTACCAAGAGTGAATCTGAAATCTCTTGTATGCAAAACATCCATCTGTTTGAACAGTGTTCTTTGAAGTATCTGCATCCACTAAGGTCTGAAGGGGGTTCCCAAAGAAGGGAAACAATCTGTATTCCTCTGCCATGTGATATATTGCACTCCCTCCTCCTCACTTTTTAGTGGTACTAATTTTAAATTAGCAAGCATATTTAGCTCTGGTTTCAGGAAAGTAACAAAATGGCTGTCAGTGCTTTGATTACATTTTTGTTTTAGTTTCTGCTGTGGCTTCCTTTCTATGATACCCAGGAGATGTGTTGTGCAAGCAGGTTATAAACATCAATTGCTTTCTTATGCCTATGTGCACTGTTGGTCTTCAGATTCTGTGTAAGAAGGACATATGTTTATTCTGTACATTCATGGGTACAAGGCAGTTCGATCATATGCGTAAATGAATAATGTAACTATAATTGGCCTGCGGCATATGACATTCTAAACTTAAAAAACAAGTTTGCGCACAGCAACAATAGAGGTTTTGAACCAAAGTGCTGATGACACATCAGGATACTTTCTTACAAAATGATTGTGCCGCTAGTAGATGAAATGGAGATGCAGTAAGTGAATGTAAACCCTTGTTTTAGCACACCTTTTGAATGTATCGCTCTTGACAAGTGAACACTGAGTGTGTCCAGTCCCTTATGGATTCAGCTTACATGTCATTTAGATGAGCTTGGATCTACTTTAGCCTCTTTAAACAGTTAGGCTGAATTGTCTCCAGTTTCTTGTTCTGGACTTCATTTACCTCTGATATGTAATAACAACCTTTTTGAATGTGTTTGACTTTCCAGTAACTAAACCAAAGGAGTCAACCCTCAAAGTTTCCAGTTCGCACTACCTAAACCAAAACATAGTGGTATGGCATGGGGCCCATTCAAGTTAGCCTTTTGCTGCTTCAACTGATTCAAATTGCTGAGTTGTGGTTGAACTGGGAGGCAGACTAGTGATGAGTGTTAATGATTCTCACTCACTTTTCAGTGTAAAGGGATTTAGATTTTCAAAGAGCTACTAGTGAGGATGCACAAACAAAAGCTGAGAGGTGCTCTTCTGTGCTATATCCCCTGGCCTGTCTTGTGAAGTCACATTTTTAAGAGGGATGGGTTTTTTTGGATAGGTGTGAGGCTTATTGAAGTTCATAGATAGTGACTCATTAACTTGTATAGATGAACTAATGGTATATTTGGCATCAGATATTAATGAAGGTTACTTAGTTTGGCCTTGGAAGATTGTCCATCACACATTCTACACAGAACAGAATCTGGATCAGCAATTTGGCGTTCAAGTAACCTTTGCTTTGATCTTTAACAAAGAAAGCAAAGTTCCTAGTTCTCATTTTAAATAAATGTTTCAAATGTGCTAGCAGCTGGTGTGAGGAGAGAGGCTTTGGGGGGGATGGGGCTCCTTGTTCTCTCAAGCTGCTTTGTCATTCCAAGGCAACTTTGCCCTGTACTTACAGGAATAGTTACAGAAGTACTGTGTGCCGACGTAGTGAATTTTGCAACTGGGACAGAATGTGCAAGTTTAAGCCATTTTATTTAAATCGGTAAAATTCCTTTCCTTGTATAGTTTTATATGGTGAGCTCATGTGGATATCAAGTACTTTCCTATTCCTGACATCTTAAAAACATTAGAATCTAAGAAGGAGCTGGTTGAATCAGGTCAAAAACCTATCTAGTACCGCATCTTACTTCCCGCCACTTTTTTCTTGTGCCTGCTAGTTCAGAAACATGCATTTTTTAAATCCTGGAGCTGGGTATTGTTGTATGTTGGTGCTCATGGGTGGGAAGCATGTGGCCCTTCTAAATATTGGTGAACTACAACTCTCATCACCCCTCCCCATGGGCTCTGTTGCTAGGACTGATTGCAGTCTACCAACATCTGGAGGGCTACACATTCCTCATCCCCGATAAAGTCTTTACAATCAGTAAGAAGGGCTGATATTGTTGATCATGTGTGGACTGAATCAGGCAGTGAACAGAGGAGAGGCTGCAAAACAAAAGCCATACTCTTTTATACTGGATTCTTGTTCAGAGGCAGATGTTGCTTTAAAGCACCCACCAGCTCCTTTTACAGCCTCCACGTGGCTGCTGTTGACTCTGGAAATGATGGAGGAGGCATTCCTTGAGAAGGTACACATTGCCACAGGGAGAGACAAACAAATTGCACCCTTGCAACCACCAGCACCAGTGCTGCTGCCTCCTTCTCGTTTACAAAACTGATTTCTTAGCATTGCCTTATTTGCTCTAGGCACTGAACTTGGTCTTCTCTCTAGTTGGAGACATTTCGATATGCTATTGTCTTGAGGCAAATCCCACAACTAAAAGCTAGTTCCAGCCTCAAGTGGGAGTCAGGTGTTCTGACTGAAAGGGGAACGTGCTTTCCAGTTGCTATTTTTAAACACTTTAACAATGCACGGACGGACACTGGTAGCTTCTAAGATGGAAGCTTTCCCCTGAAGGCAGAAGCTGTGGTCCTGATCAGTTGTTAGCTCTGCAGAATCCAGGTCATTGCTTCTGTAGAGAGCTGCTTCCATGAGGCTCTTTTGAACAGCAGACAGAAATTGCTGAGTCTTTTGCCATCATATTGGAGACATTCATGGGAAAGCAGTTTTGTTTTGTTAACTGTGCTAACAAAGTCGTACAGTCTCCTATTGAATGGGGAAGTGTTGGTATATCATCCGCATAAGAGGAAAGTTTGCTTTATGGAGCCCTTTGTCTCTGTCTCTACCATCACTAAGGCGATGCGGTAAGGTGTGGCTGGTTAGGGTGTGAAGGTTCTAATGGCCAAGTGTGTAGGTAGCCTAGCTAATGTGTTTATGATTACTTTGCTTGAACTTCTGGTTTAAACTATGCAGTAATGGCATGTTTTTGAAGAGTAAAAGCCAAGGTAAGTTGAGGTTTAAACAACTGGTAATAATTTAAGAATTCAAAACTAGCATGACCAGAGTGAAAGGGTGTATTTTCTTTATAGCAGCATTCCCGCCGGATGTTTTGGATGGCAACTTCCATAATCTGTGACCATTGACCATGGTGACTTGGGCTGATGGGAGTTGTAGTCCAAAATATTTGAAGGGCAGCAGTTTGGAAAAAGTAGGAAAAAGAATGAATAGAAAATCAAAGGTTTTTCAGGATATCTTCTCAAGATCACTCAGCGCAAGTTGCTTATACCTGCATTGTGAGCTGCAATCTATATTGTGATTTTTGAATAAGTAAGAAAGGGATGCTGATTGCTTTGATAAACACAGAATTGTGATTCATGTGTAGAGGAGATACACCTTTTGGCAAAAATTAAGCAACTTAAATAATCACATGGTCCTAGAGAAGCCAATCTCTCATCTTCAGTCCCCCATTTGTAGTACTGAAAAGTCATAAGGATTTCAGGAATGCCTTATGTGCTTCAAATTTTCTAAACCAATTCTATATAAGTTATTGGCAGTGAATGTAAGTTTATGCATTTCTAGATCCCTGGGCAGCAGAGGATCTATAGTGTTCCTGATAACATTAATATGGATGAGGAGATGAGAAGGTATTGTATTACCCTTGTCTTGTCTAGTTAGTGCTAGC